ATTAACAACAACAAAGAACTAACTAAATAAATAAAAGCTTAAACAAAAAATCAAATCCAAACTCCTAGCCACAGTCTTCACAATCCAACCCCCAAAACACACAGGACTGTCCAAACATGCCATTCATTTTTCATATCTCTGACCCCATCCCCAGCTTGGGATGCTCTTGTTCCTGCTAATTAACCCGATAAACTTCCCTCCCCATTCAAGGCTCAGCATAAATAGCACTCCCAGGGCAGAAATGTTCATGTTCCAGGGGAATTAAATTCTTCCCCACTTCGAAGGCCCATGTTTACATGCCTCTATTATGCTCATTCATAAAGAATTACAGTTACTTACACGTATGCGTGTCTGTCCCTCTGCTGGCCTCCAAGGTCTCGGAGGGCATCAGTCATGCCTTATTCATGGGGCATTTCCAGCGCCTGCCCTAGTGACAGGCACTCACTAAGTGTTTACTAAACGAGTGGGAAGAGCTTGTCAGAAACCTATGTACTTTGTCAACCCTTTTCCTCAAAGGAAGCAAGTGGCACAGAGCTTTAGAATATGCTTTAAAAGAAAATGGATTCACATGAATCTACAGTTAGTTACTCATTCAAAGCAGATCTGATTGCCACCCTACACCAAGTGCTGGGGTAGGTCCCGAGGAGAGAGGGTGAAAGTGTGAACAAGACCAACAAGGACCTGGTCCTGTGAACGCCACACCTCTAAATTCTGATGTGGGCTAGGACGGAAAAACACCAGATGATGTCAGGGAGAGTGACTGGGTTGGAGGTGGGGAGTGTGTGAAAATGTTGCTGGTGGGGAGGGGAATTCTTGGCCCATGACCAGGGAATCCTCCCTTTTCTTTGCCAGAACTTAATTAGCTCTATTTTTATAAGGCAGGGAGTAAAAGATGTGGAACACCAAGGAACAGACATTGACCAAAAGGGTTCCTTTTCAACCATGTTCCAATTATTTTTAGCAAGAATTGTCTACATTAGGTAACAATCCTATAGTATTTGCACTGATTTATTCTTAGCTTACTACTTTAAAATTTCTTTCCTTTTTGTTTCCAAAGTCTGAACAGTGGCGCCCCTTCTTTTCCTTCCACCTCCCGCTACCCCTGCCACTCACATTTATACATTTACACACAGCCTGAGACAACGGAAGAAAAGCTGGTCAGTGGACGAGATCTGGGGACGCTACCTGATCACAGGTGCCCTGGGGGAGGCAACTGGCCACTCTCTTTTACACCCAGATGACTGACAACCATCACATCTAATTCCAGCTTTCCTTTTTCCATTTGGGCCTCTGAGGGGTAGACTGCCTCTTATTCATTAGAAATATAAAGTTGTAGGCAAGCATGCTTCATTTCTCATGATGAAGAGAAAGTTTAAAAGAAAAAAACAAAACCCTAAACCTATAGAACAATCACTTTTTTTACTCCCTTCTCTTGGGGTAACTTATACAAATTATCTCTGGGTTGGAATAGCTCAAGTCTTACAGTGCCCTATTTTAGGGGCATTAGGACACTTTGTCAGCCCCCCTTTTTCCAGATGGAGGATGGTTAAATGGTAAATAGAGTCTTGGTGCAGAGGGGCAGGGTGGTACAAAGGTTTGCTGGCACAGGGCCTGTCTTATAGAGGGAGATTAGGGATGTCTTCTCTGAAGAAGCGCCATTCAGAGACAGACTGAGAGGGAAAGAGCACGGAACCTTCCAGGCAAAAAGCAAAGTGCTGGAGTCAGGGAGGAGAGGCTGCTTCAGGCAGCAAGTACAAAGAAAGTGCTCGGAACCTCTGGAGAAAGGAGTTCCCCGGGTCTGGAGGATGCTGAGAAATGAAGAAAGCAGGATGGGATGAGGTTGAAAGGAAGCGATGAGAACACACATTTGGAAAATAGAAACCCAAGGAATTTGCCAACTAACAACTTGCAAAACGCCAGATGGTTCATGAGTATTTTAGGCACTTGGTTTCCAAGAACCATTTGATTTAGCAGCAGATGACCAGGCACACCTTCATCACTTCACTAGGAAACATTCCAAGGGATTTAGAGACCTGAAATGCTCGGCAGCTCTGAGTTCTTACAGGTTTGTGAGCTCCAGTCTGTGGCTCTGCCCAATTACTGAACTAACCCTCCTTCCTCACACATAGCAGAATGGGTGGGGGAGAGCATCCCACTGAAGTGTCAAGAGAAAATCCCCTACCTGCTCCCTGGAATAGTAAGTGAAATAAGTAGCAGGGAAAAAATCATTCAAGTAGCATGATTTCAACTAGAAAGTGAACAAGAAAAGTGAACAAACGAAAAACAGACTAGAAAAAACAGTGAGAGGAAATACACACTTATGTAATCAATTAATTTATGACAAAAGAACCAAGAATATACAATGGGGAAAGGAGAGTCTTCTCAATAAATATTGTTGGAAAAGCTGGACAGCCACATGCAAAAGGATGAAACTGGCCGCTATCTTACTCCATACACAGAAATTAATTCAGAATGGATTGAAGACTTGAAATGTTGAGACCTGAGACCATAAAACTCCTACAAGGAAACAGAGGCAGTAGGCTCCTTGACAGCAGTCTTAGTGATGGTTTTTTGGATCTGACACCAAAAGCCCAGGCAACAAAAACAAAAGGGGGACTCCGTCAGACTAAAAAGCCTCTGCACACCAAAGGAGACCATCAACAAAACAAAAAGCCAAATTACTGAATTGGAGAAAATATTTGTAAATTGTATGTCTGATAAAGGGGTTAATACTCATACAACTGAGTAGCCAAAAAGAATAATAATCTGTTAAAAAAAATGAGAAGATCTGAATAAACATTTTTTATAAAGAAAGATATACTAATGGCTAACGGGTATATGAAAAGGTATTCAACGTCAGTAATCATCAGGGAAATGCAAATCAAAACCACAATGAGACAGCCACTTTAATGGGATCCACATTCTAGAGGTGAAGACAGACATCTAACAGTCTCCCATGGAACAAATGATTTAAAGGAGAAGCAGAGGATGCTATGTGAGATTTGGGTGAGGGACAGGGCACGGCAGTGGGGGGAGGGAATAGCCTGGGGGGACACATGCATGAAAATCTCTGAAAGGCGATCCTTCCACTACAACGTGAAGGATGAGTTACTGCGAGCTAGTGCCCTAGAGAATGAACGGGGTGAACTAACATCATTATAGGTGCAGAGCGCACAGGGCGAGAGGCAGGGTGCAGGAGAGGCAGGCAGACTCTGCAGGGCCTTTTAAAGCTCTGTAAAGGTTGTGCTCTTAATTCTGGTGAAAACTGGAAGCCTCAAAAATTTTAACAGAGGAGCACCCAGGTCAGGTACTCCATTCTGGCTGTAGCATAGAGAACAAACAAGAGGGAGAGGGAAGAGGCTGTCCAGGGGCAGTTATGACCAAAATTAATATAAACTAAAGAATGTTCATATACTCTTTAAAAGATTTATTTTCTAGAAATTTTCCTATCATTGGTCAATGCTTCACCCACCAAAATAAACTTCTCTCGAATACAGACTTGTGGTTACCGGGGC